CAAATATGAAAGTAAGGATAAGCAAGGCGAGGAGATATGTGCATTTAATCCATTTTAATGGACTAACATGCACTGGAATTTCCCTTCTCCTGGTCAACCAGTTGGCTATTTCCAACAAAATCTATATAGGGACCCACACTTTTACTGCGCTTGGAGCTTTGTAATGTACCGGAATTTTCCTGGAAGTTGTTCAGTGGGCCCTCTCTTCAGGACACCAGGCCAGCCCCACTTGCTGTAATAAACTAGTTCAAGAGTAGACCTGCTTCCAAACCGCCTATGAAGGACTCCCTGAAACTTGACTTTCTAATGGAGAGGCTGCCATGGAATTCTAGGAGCATAACATCGACACTGTGGGGATCTTTTACGTGGGAGGGAGCAAGTGTCAGATAACCAGGAGATTTCCAGCCACTCTGGAGAAAGAAAGCTGAGATGTCATTCCCGAATCCCAGTGCTTTCCAATCCTAATCTAACTCTAAAAGAGAAAGCCAAATGGGATTCCTGTGGTGTCTGCCAGAAATATTAAAGCTGATAAGTGGGGGGGATGACTGGTTCTTCTTGTGGAAAATACGGCAAGTACGTCGACTGCTGTGGACGTCCGCAGCTCTTATTTTAGAGGTAGCTCCGTTGTATGGACGCCAAACTCACCCTGAAGCCATCTGGGGAAGCAGGAAATGCGGTGGAGACAAACAAACATAACTCCACCAGACGTGAAATGAGATATATTTCAAAATTCAAAGGATGAGGAAATGTAGACACACCTGCCAGGCTAGTCAGGTTACTGCTAATATCTTTATGGTGAATTTCACATTAGAATTTGGCTCCCCTTTGCGTCTGGGGAATTGTCGTCTTTGTAAGAGCACAGAAAAACGAATGGAAAATTCTGAGATTGCTCAGTGAGCTATGCAATGTTCCCGTTCTAGGTCACAGGCTTAACTCCAGCTGAGGCTCACACTGAAAGTATCTGCCATCTTCAAGTCATCCTGAAGGGTCCTGGCTACTGAGGATTCACACGAAGGCCCCTCGGGCCCTCTGTGGCTGGGGCGTGTGCCCCTTGGACAGCTCCAGGGGCTGTCAAGTTCAGCTGGGGTTTTCACAATCCCTGTTGATATCTGCTGGCTGCTGAAATACTTCCCAGAATCAAATTACAGGGTTAAGGCGGGCGGGGGGCGGGGGCGGGAAGCTCTCAAACAGTAATAGGGAGATGGGGAAGGTACAGGTTGTGAGACAGTGACAACTGGGGAGATGTCAACGTGAACTTCCGTGTGTGTTCTTCTTTCCCAACTCTCCTACCATCCTCTAGCCTGTTACCAAGTGTCTGGTAAAATATAGCAGCTTCCAACACGAGCATAGCTGGTGAGCACTTTCTTCATCTTGTTTGATTACACATGCAAGGTGAAACTCTGTTATCCACAGACAGCGCTAACACCGATGCCAAACTGTTCTACAAGGTTCCTGGAAACTTCTGAGCTTACTGTTTCAGCCTTCCTTCCTGCCTTCCTTCCAACGTGCTCATTCATTCACTCACTCACTCATCCGCCAAATATTTGTTGCATATTTCCGTGTTCCAGGCACTTGATATATATCGATGACTAGGAGAGACGTGTCCTTTCCTTTGTGACGTTGATTATAATAAACCACAACCAGAGAATTCATTAAGTCATACCCATTTGGATAAGCGGCCTGAGGAGCCTGATGAGATGCAGAAATGGTGAGCCTGCTAGGAGAGGTTGGATCAGGAAGGCCTCTCTGAAAGGGTGGCCTTACAGCCAAGACCTAAAGGATGAGAGGGATGGAAGCATGCAGAGTACAGGGAAGAGCACAGCAGACAGAGGGAACAGATGTGCAAAGGCTCGGAGGTGGGAGGTAGCTTTAACGGGCTCGGGAGGAAAAAGGCCAGTGGAGATGATGCCTCATGAGGTGAGGGAGAGCTGACGTTGAAGAGGCAAGCACAGAGAGCTTGAGGCTCGGGAGGATGAATGTTATTGTAGGGGCAATGGGAATCTACTCAAGGGATTTAAGTGGGGAAGACGTGCTCTGAATTATGTCAGACAATGTGTGAAAAATAGATTGAGCTGGAGGAAAGGTGGAAAGGGAGGAATTACACATGGCAGAAACTGCAAAATGTCTCTCTGTAGCCATTGTCCCCTCCTTCCTAACTCGGAGAACTCCAGTTTTATTCTGGAGAGCAATGGGCCCAGTCAAAAAGGTATATTTCCCATTTTCCTTGTAGCTCGGCATGGCCACATGTAATAATTCTGCACAACAAGACATAAATTGAAGCCTACTGAGGATCTTTGGGCAAGTTTGCTTTCCTGCTCTAAAGGTGCAACCCCTTCCTCTTCCTTTCTTCCTCTCCTTTTTCTTATGTGATTCCAGCTTGTAAAAACAAGATGTGATGGCAGGAGCAACAGCAGCCCTCTTAGACAACTATCTAAGAAGGTTAATATTGATAGTATCACAGAAACCTCAGGCCTGAGAGCCTTAAACCACTGAATCAGTGCCAACAAATCTGGGTTTCACTGTGTATAAAAAGAAAATGCTCCATTTGTTAAGATAAAGTTTGCTTGGGTTTTCTATTACTTACAAGTGGACACCATATTTAACTGACATTAACAGGCTCTTATCATCGTTCAGGCAGCCTGTCCTTGAATGGTGGCAGTGCAAATGAATAAAATGGGTCAATTTTGAATGTTGAAACAATGGGATTTCCTGCTGTCCTATATGTGGGCTTTGGTGGTGGGGGATGGTGGGTGTGAAAATTACTTACAGGATTTTGGTCTGCAAATTTATTAAAATGGGAAGGAAAAAACCAAAGAAGGACAGGTTTGAAGGCTAAAAGCAAGAATTTAAATGTTGATATTTTACAGGTGAGGTACCTAAGTGTTATCTATGATAGTAATCTCCATTCTTGCGGTTTCCATGAGGTGGGGTCTTCCTCCAAAATTCCTGGCCCTGCTCTAGCCCTTCATTCTCTTCTTTTTCAGGGAGCAAGTGAACCAGCCTGCCTGTACAGGGTACAGTGGGCCCTTGAACAACACAGGTTTGAACTGTGCAGGTCCATTTATATATACTTCCATACTGCATCATCCATGCTTGGGTGAATCTGCAGCTATGGAACTGGGGACAGGGAGGGCCGACTGTAAAGTTATACTCGGATTTTTCATCCTGCAGAGGGTCCAAGCCCCTAACCCCTGTGCAATGTTCGAGGGTCACCTGTACTCATTCCCGTCTGCTTCTCCACGTGTGATGTGGTACATATGGATACAGGCTCCACAGGAAGAAGCCTGTGGTCCTCGGAGCTGCCTGTGGCTGGATGCTCAACCCCCAGGTCCAGCATCAGGAAGCCCATCATCGCTGCAGATCTCAACCCCATTATCCAATTCAGCTTTTATCAGGAGTAAAACACTGACGTTTGTATCCCCACGTGCTGGACTTCTTTGTCTATCTCTCGGTGGTCTTACACTTAGGTTGGCTTCTACCTGTATAATATTAGACACATCCCATTCTTTCAGCCACATGATGGGGGGCTTGTTTTTAACAAGTGCTTCTTTCAACGGGTATCGTAAGAAAAAAACCAAAATCCCTCCCCTATTCTAATGTGTGGCTGCCTTCCTACCTTCCTTGTGAGAGTCAAGGATTGAGTCTTCCCTGCCCAGTGGGACTGTACACCGCACAGGAATAAGGATTTATTTCAAACTGATGCTAGTGAGCAAAAGGTAATCAGTGATCATTCTACTGTTCAGGCAGTTGGCTTCTTGCCATAACTTTGCAGGAACTGTGTTATTAGAATGGTGTGGCCTTTCCCTCTCTCCCTTTTCTCTGCTACCAATCCACCCTACCCCACCTACTAATCAATTCTCTGCTTCCCTCCTTTAAAAGGTGGTCTGGGTGTTAGTGGACTTTAGCCTAGCCCTAGTAACCCCAACTTCAGAACTGCTGGGCATACACAGTCGGGTAAAAGGTCATTGCTCGCCACCAGGGAATCTAGGTAAGGTGGTTCTGGTTTTTCATCCCCTCCTCTCTTTCCATCCTAATGGATACATTATGGCTGCGGTTTACACTGATGAAAGAGGTGATGGGCGTTTTGGCACATTATGTCATTGAAAATAATACTTATTCTCAGAATGAATATGTAAATTGCATATGTTGCCATCCCGTGCGGGGTCCTGCACCTGGTGTGGAACGGAGCGCGGCACCCGTTACAAGTGTCATTTAATAGCTTTTACCAAGCAAGGGCACATCAGCAGCTGTGAGGCATGATGCCACTGTGACAATAACTACAGACACAGAGTGCCCATAAAAAAATATATGTCCTTTGTTTTGAATAGAGCCCTGGGTAATTTCCCTAACTATCGTTCTATGAGAAAGCCCCGTTGACTCCCTTTCATCAATTTAGGATCTGGACGTGAAAAATCACCGGCATCCAGTGGTTCAGGCAATTTGCTTTTTCCAAATGAAAAAAGGACAAAAGATAATACTGCAGAAAAATCTCTACTCCTGAGTTGCCTGTGTTGACAGCCAAGGCTCACCTCAAATAAAGGATCCTGAGGAGTCTTTCTGACCTTCTTTCTAAACAGAGCCCAAGGACAACGCGTGACAGTGTATTCAGGGGCTGCTTCTCCTCTCGGCCCGGGGAGGATGTGCGGGTCTGGGTGTAGAGCCCGCAGGTGAGGGTGGCCACCCTGCAGGGGCGCTGTGAACTGCAGTGGGTCCAGCAGGCACCGAAGCAGCGTCTGTCTGCCCCACCCTGGGGGCCGGGCCGGGTGTTCTGCGGAAAAGCTACAGAAATGCTGCTCACCTTGAGAAGTAAGCTCTCAGGGCGGGGTCCGTGTTCCTCCAAGTTGCCACAGGACATGAAATTGGTTATGAGGTTTTGCCATTCGATATGGAGTAAGATGGGAAATTATGGGACTACTTACCCCCAAATGAAAAAAAAAAAAAAGTACATAAGAAAAGGCAACATCGTGACAAAAGAGATGGCCCCCCAAAATCTTACTTACATTGAGTGAGGATCCCGGTTAAGGCATTTTTGAAATTCTCCTTGGCCTCCTCCATCTCCTGCTCATGGGTGGCTTTCTCGTTCATCAGCCGGCGGACATGGCTGTTGGCCGACTGCACCATGGAATAGAACTGGTTTGCGGACCTCCGGTTTACTTCCCCTCGCTCAATCCAGGACAGCAGCACTGTGATGGCCTCTGAAAACTTGCTATCGTCTGGAAATGCAAAACCACCAAGTCCAAATCACGCCCAGGAAAGATTTTCGTTTTCACTTTGCTTCCTCTCTAAAGGCAAAGCACGGTCCATCCTAATGGATATGTTTTCAGAACTTGACCTTGTGAGCTTTCCTGCGACTAATGGCTCCATCATCACTTAGCTTTGTCTTCCCACATCTAACTCCACGGCACTGCACAACCACCCAAGAAACAAAGGGTGGTTCACCCTCTCAATGAGCTCAGTTTTAGAAGATCTGTCCTGGGCATCCTTTGAAATATGGTACAACCGCACTCTTCCACCAAACCCAGATTTCTCCTTCTTAAGACTGGCTCGAAAAACTGTTATTCACCTATTTGGCCTCTAGCTGATTTCTTTATTCTTTCACCAGAAATGGCACACAGTGATACCAGTTTTCTGACTTAGAATCTGCTGAGTTATTGTCAAGATGTGGATGACAGATTAGATTACTTTTAAAAGTGATTGTGATGTGAGATATTGTTCCCAAGGTGGTAGGAGGAATAGGTCGATTCTTATACTACTGCAGTTCAAAACTAATTTCACTTTAGGTTTAATAGAACATATTTGATTAGGCTGAAAACTAGAATATTTCCTTGTTTTCAACAAAAGAGGACCTGTTCCGGGGTGGTCAGTGTTTGCCTTGGAAGGCTACTGGAAACCCATGTGAACCTGGTTTGAGGGGGTGTGTTGATGGGGGGAGGGGATGGGAGGTTCTACCTGTAAATAAGTGATAAAGTTTATTTCAAAGAAATCAATATACTTGCCCGTTCGCAAATAGTTTCTGGAACAGATCTGAGTTTTACGACTGACTTGGAGGTGGAGAAGGAGCAAGTTGGAAGGAGATTAAGTTAACTGGAAGTGGAAGCTGTACGTCAGTTATTACAACATTAATCGATCCCACTGCTGAATGCTCACTGCGTATTTTCCAGACAAACTTGAGGAGACGAGCCTTTCATCCCTATTTTTTTACCCCCGAAAAAATGTGATCTAAGAGAAATATCCTAGAAACTAACACAACATTGTAAATTGACTATACTTCAATAAAAATTTTTTAAAAAATCCTACATTTTCCAAGTGAACTGAGTAGAATCTGAGTTCTAAAACTAAGAAGCAAAATTAGACTAAAAGATTCAGATGCTTCTCACGCATTTGACAAATACTAAGTGACTACCATGTTCCCTCTACTAGAGGAACACCAGAGACATCCTTATACACTGCATGTGTATATTCCATCGTTTACACATTATTATATATTGTGTGCATACATATACACACACACATACATACACACTCTAGATGAACAGACAGAGGGTGATTCATATTTAGTAAAGGGATTTTATTTTCTTTTACTCACCAGAGGTTTTACAATCAACCATCGCTGCTAGTATTTTACACAGCGTACAAAGTCTGCATTTGCGGAGCGCTTTGTGAATTTTGCGGAGCGCTGTGGGAATGCCATTAGTACCTTTTCTCCCAGAGGCCCCCTTTCAGACCAGGGCACTTCACTGCTGTGGCTGCTTCTTGCCCAGGAGGTACCTGCACTGAGTGAAGGCAGGGTCGCTTGACGCAGCACCCGTGGATTCTCCAGGATGGAAATCCTGCTGTTGATGGGCCACCATCCCGGGCCCTCTCCCGCCTGGGTGGTGCCAGTCTGGGCTTGGGGATCAAAGCTTTACTCCTGGGCATACCTGCCCCTTCTGCCCTCACGCTTTGATCCGAGGACATAAGTGGCCTGGGGAAGGCCCACAGGGCAGCCCGCCCGTGAAAGACTCAAGTTTCCTTGCCAATTTCAACCAACCTGCAATTGAGCGCGCACTTGTTCAGCGTCACAGCTGGTTTGCACAGTTTTGTTAACTCTGGAATTTCAGTCTGAGTTCAACCCTCAGTGAACTCCGGCTGCACGGGGCTCTTATTTCATGGACCAATGCGGCTTGTATAAGATAGAATCCATCACACAACTTAACACTGCGCTCAACCCGTGGAGAGGCCCGTAATTCAGCATTATGCTTGTGGGAACCCCACTGCGACCCTTACAGTCAGAATAAATTCTGCCTCTCTCCTTCTCTCTGCAGATATGTGTTAGGAGAATGGGCCTCTGAAAAGACAGCAGAAATCAACCTAATGCTTATAAGAAATCTTTTCTTTTTCCCCCCCTCTTAAAAAATCACAGCAACAGAAAAGAGAACTCTGACTTCATGGACCATTTTTCCCCTTTGCTGTGACTTGCATCTCTATGTAACACAGAGAAAAATCCTAGCCGTTTTCATTATGGGGCTTCCAAGGAGAGAGACAGAGCGAGCAACGGGGTCCCATCTTTCTTTCACCCTCGCACGGGTGCAGATTTTTCTTCTCTTGCTTGTGGTTACGCAAGTTCATAAATACCCTAATTTAATTTAAGGATGTCTCTGGTGTTCCAGAAGAACACACTTAAATTTTAAAAATGCATGTTTCCTTGAATGACCTAAGAGCCAATTTTTATCGTTCTTCACTCTTAGACCTGAAGCATAAGTTCACCAGATTAGAGCTAATTGATAGTTTTCAGAAAGAGAGACAGCAATTTTAGGATTAAGCAACTGAAAATACACAGCTGAAAAAGTAAGTAGGCAAGAGACTTTCTAACACTGTAACAAGTAATAGTAGGCAGAATTCCATTTTCTCAGTATATATGAATAAAATAAAATATACATTATATACTGTATATATCTCATATATGCATATATATATGGCTTAGTACATAGTTTTGAAAACTCCCAATTTCATCCTCGTTTCTGAAATTTCTGAGGCGGGCTGGTGGATGACTGATGTACTGACGTTCAAATTAACTGTGAAAACATTAGCTAACGTACGACTGGTTAAGTCTAGTCGATGTCTGTTGCCATGTAAGACGTGACTTTATATTAAATGAAAACTAAGTCAGCAGCTCCCCCTGCACGGCTACAGGAGGGTGTTGGGAGCGGCCATTTTCAATACCCAAATGAAAATTCAATTCTGGATTCAAGGGAAAGATCACAGAGAAAACAGAAAACAATATAAACTAATTTAAACAGGATTTAGATTGCGGCGCTCTTAAAGCTATTCATGCAGAAAGAAATTAACACGGCTCATAAAAATCACATCAAAGACGCACTTATAAAAATTCCACATACTTTCTGTGAACATGCGTGGGTTCAGCTCTGAACATGGGTGCCCTTCAGAAACTAGAATGTGCAGACATGCCTTCTCCACACAAAGAATTGGGAAAATTGGCATATTTTGGAGGGACTATGGACCATTTGCTCATTAAAAATTGCCCCACGTTTTCTAATCAGCGTCTTCACGATGTCACACCTGGGCTACTGCAACTGTCTGCTCCATGGCCTCCCTTGAGCTGCAGTTTCCCCTTCAATCCATTCGCCATTCCTTTGTGACACTCCTCTTTGTTAAGGACCATGGCCTTGTCTCCCTACTTTAGCATGTACTGTGCACTCATCCTAGGGGCCCCGGAACTCCTGGTCTACCCGGCTGTTATGTTTCCCTCAAGAGTCAGCCTAAGTGCCTTTCATAAAGGAAGCTTTTCTGCAACCCTAACATGAATTCAGTGTCCCTTTGCTACGTTTCCACAATTCCCTACATATCCTGCTATGAAAACATTAGTCACTCTATACAGTAATCATTGGTTCATGTATCCACTGGCCCTCCAGTTCTGAGGGGTCAACGTGAGAAGAAAACTTCCAAAACATATTTCAGTCTTCTGCTCACTCTTTTTCCCTTTGTCGTTTCTTTCATTATACTCTATTTCTAATAGATCTGCAGTGCATTAGTGCTGGAAAGTTACAGCAAATCCAGTGGTCAAAAGTTGGGAAATACCAGTTGATGGTAAACATTTTAATTTCAGGTTGAAGAGTATTTTCACACTGTCTACCAGAGATAAATGTTCTCATGGCACTTAAGCTGGCTGGTCCTTTTATCCTTCAGGCTTCCGAGGTTACTACCATAAGCAATGAAAGTTAAGAGAGATATCAGATAATTACACAGAAGCAGAGGTTTCCACAGTAAGCTAATCAGCTTATCCAATGACTTAAAAATCTTTCTGAAAGTATTTTTTTAATTCTGGAAGGTAATACCCCTTGCATTTAGCTTTGTATTTAGCTTTTTAATTCTGGGAAGGTAATAACCTTTGTATTCAGCTTCGTGAGGACTAAATTATAATTATAATTATTATATTATATTATTAAATTATATTATAATTATAATATTTTATAATGATGATCACACTTCAGTATCTGAATCCATACCCATCTTATTTCATTTCTCGTCACATCAGAATTTGTCAGCCTCCCTCCCTATCCCTCTTTTCCACGTTTACTGAGCACGGGGCACGTAGCAGGCATTCTAAAAATTGCATATGGCACACATCTTTGCTAGTCAAAGACCACAAGCATGAGCCTCGTTTGGGGGCTTATCAAAAACGTAGCCTAGGGCTTCCCTGGTGGCGCAGTGGTTGAGAGTCCGCCTGCCGATGCAGGGGACGCGGGTTCGCGCCCCGGTCCGGGAAGATCCCACATGCCGCGGAGCGGCTGGGCCCGGGAGCCATGGCCGCTGAGCCTGCGCGTCCGGAGCCTGTGCTCCGCAACGGGAGAGGCCACAACAGTGAGAGGCCCGCGTACCACAAAAAAAACAAAAACAAAAACGTAGCCTCACCCTACTCAGGCCTCCAGACTCAGAATCTGCATCCTAGTCCAAGCGTTTCATAGGCACATTGAAACTGGAGAAGCACCAGAAGAAATCACTCAATAAAAGCCCGGGAAACTGGTGAGGAGCTCACCTAAGTTAAAAGATAATGAAAACCTGAAATGGAAAGTAGCATCTGAGAGAGTGGCGAATACTGAAAGGCTCTGATGTGATTCTCATGAGTTTTGTGAATCTGCGTCCCCAAACCCTCCACCCCCATTTAAAGAAGAGCTGCTTAAACGTCAGTCATCTTCACCCCAGAAAAAAATGT